CACTAACAAATGAAAAGTATATATTATACGAGAGTACAAAAAAAGGAACATAGGCGCGAACAAGCGAACACGTGTAAGAGCGCCGGTGAACATAACATGAGAACTGAGAAGAATAATAATAATACGGCGTGAACGTCGTTAATAGAGGCGCCTGCATCGTAGCGGGGTCCGATGCGATATCGGCGGAAGCCAAAAGAAAATATAATTGGCGCGAAAGTCAAAAAGAATGTTTCAACATCTATAACTTCTGTATTTATAATACAACTTTGAGGTTAATAAGAATAAAATATATTTACTTAGGAAAAGTCAAAAAGTAAAGAGACTTGTTTGAAAAGTTTTCATTTCTTAAATGTTTACTTTTTGACTTACCTTTGTATCTTATTTTTATATATATATGAAAGAATCTAAGAAAACTTCGATTGACATTACATTTCAAAGAAATTGGAAAGCGCAGTGCGGAAAAGAAAATTCTGTCGAAGATTAAAAGACGCGACGTCCTAATTTTTGTCTCAAAAATAATTCAAATGTAAGAGAAAAAGAAAGTTAATGTAAAAGTAAAGAAAATCTGCAATACGGTATTTTTTTTTAAATAATGAACGCTGAAATATATAACTAAATATTATTTCATTAATTTTGATATTACATTTGTCACTTATCGTGCGCGCGATTTGTCGCGAGATTAGCGTTTACCGTATTTGAAGTACGCTATTGCAAAAAGTCTCTGTTACTTGCGCCGTGAGGTGCTAATAAATCTTGCAATACGCAAGCGAGGGTCGTGTTATCAAGTCGATGCGCTCCATTAAATCGGGATGATGACAGAGCAGCAATCTTCACCCACACAGCATCGCTCTGTGATCTCGATACCTCTGTGAAGTTAGCATCCTATTTTTAGAATTTCGATATAATCGATTGAGTTCTAGCCTTTTCTATAAGAGTTTTAGAATTTATAGTATGTTTTAAAAAGATATTTGATGATTAAATGTAAAAAGAATAGAAACTTGAAGATATCAAATGTCAAATTTTTAATAGAATCGATTTGAGTTATGTATATTTCTTGTTAAAGCTCTTGAGATTCGCTATTAAATTCTAGAGAAATTAAATTTTCGAAATAAAATTTTAATTTAAAGAAAGTTTGGAAAATTTCCACTCGAAAACAGAAAAATTATTTAAAAAGCACTTTTATTTTGATCTTTATCAATTTTTTGTTAGCTGTTAAATTACTGTGTCACAAGAGATAACACACAAAAATATAGTATTGAACAAACAGATATAGCATTTGTATGACAAACTGACAATACAAATTTGTTCGCCGTTTTTAAATAGGAACTCGACTTTAATTCTAAATAATAACCTTTGCTAGTAACGTTTATTAATAATAACGTTATTAATAATAACGCAATTCCTTCTTTCCTCTCTTCTAAATAATTTTATTTTTCTATTTATGTCACTTTTCTTGCGAATATGCGATATGTATAATATGTTATCGAATAAAAATAACTAAATATAATCAATTAACATGTCAACTAAAACAATATTTTCAAAAATGATGGAAGTGAGCTTAATTGAGTTGACTAAGAATAAAATTCTCGACTAATAGGATTTCAAAGTATTCGTAAAGTCTACCATTCGCAGGGACTAAAGTTAACAGATCGGTAAAACGTTTTCATATTTGAATTATTGTCCAGAAGTCGCTTTATTTTGGCTTTAATTTGCGCATCAGTTTAGATTCGCACCGCCCACGCAAATTATCATTTGCATAACACGCGTTGAGGCACCGTCATTGGTAAATCGTGCGTCGATAATCCGTTGATAACATCATCTAACGCACCAGTTCGCGTTGCATACGCGCAAAGCTCGCAAAGCTCAGTTGCGCTCGCGGAGACAGACGTTGGTCCATTAGTCAGCCGAAAACGCGCATTTCTCCGGGAATTAATTATCCGCCGCGTTCGTCTGCCGTTTGTTTCGGATAATCGAATTTCCAGTACGCGGCGCCGCGCACAGCTAGAGAGACAGAGTCCCGCGACTCTCGTATATTAAACTAATTTAAATGCGAGTGCGAGCTTTCGCTCTCCTTCCCTCCTTCCCTCATTCTCTTTCCCGTTTCTCGCAGTTGGTAATAGCAATAAACAAACAGGACGAAACAAGCCGCGAGGCACGCGCTATTTGCTATCGATTACCGGGGGGGCCAAAAAACAACAGCGATACACCGACGGAATTGCGGCAAACATCGCGATACCGCTGAAAATACTCGCCGATTGAAATCGCGAAAAGCCAAACGATATTATAAAACGAGTGCGGGTGGACCGAACGACCGGCGATGCGGCGATCGATCGCTTAATGAAAACACCGACCTGCGTTTTGTTCGGGTTTTCCTCGTATCCTTTTTTTTGCATCCGCCATATCTCCGCCCTCTAATTTCGTTGCGCTACCGCCGCCGCCGCCGCCGATACGCGGTTACGTGTAAATAAATAACGGATGCCGTTGTAAGCGGCGGAATATCTCACAGTCCGCAACGGTTCATCGATCATCTCGCTGCTTAATTATAGCAGCGAGCGGGATTCAATCGCGTCGATGGTTCCTGATTAATTCAGCTTCAACCGCAGATACGAGATATAGGCCGATTTTGTCCGCTGTCGAAAGGTCGCGAGTTCGCGTAACTATGTCACGATTTCGTGTCGCGAAATGTCCTCGTTATACAATAAAAATCTTTTATTTACATTGAAAGGCTATTTATATGAAGATAAAAGAGGGACACTCTTTATTCGGAGAACTGCATATGTGGAAAAAGCCTTATCGAACGCGGTGACATCAGTAATAGTATCAGTAAAATAGAAACAGCATTATAAAAGCATTGTAAAAACGTTGTACTGCATATATAGAACTTTTTGCACGTTTTACAATTATTTTTATAAAAAAAGTTTAAACATTGCAGTAAAAAATAAAAGACTATAAATAGTTTTAAGCATCATAATTCTTGACAGATCTCAAAATTATTTTTATATTTAGTTCATTTATTTTAGTAACAATATAAATATAATTATATAAGGACTGAGACTATTACTCGATTTGCGATATTAAGGAAACACACTATTTAAAAAAGAACGAGCTTGCAACAGAAATAACATGAATGATGAAGTCGAGATATAGCTTAAACAGCCACGAATGCTTTTTGGTAACCAAATAAATTTAATAACAAGCTACAAATATACACAAAATGATTGACGGATGCGAGTCGCCAAATGCATCTGTCAAATCCGCAGGTTAAATTAATTAATTAGAATCGTTTTCGTGGAAACGAGATGACGTGCAGATGAAGTGCGAGGTAAACCGCTATGCAATCAAATGAAAAGCAAACACTACATATGGGGTGTTCGAATGAGATCAGCATAATCGAGTATCAGCACGCGACGCAAAATGACGGGGCACATTAATGTAACGTTTTGTAAATGTAATTCTAATGTAATAATTCGAAATCCGAGACAATCCTTCGTTATTGTGTGTTATGCAGTGTTGATCCGTAACGCGCGTGGACTGGTAGATAAATATGCGTAGATATTTTGGCCACTCGTTAAAATTAGTGCGTACAAGAAAGTAGGCACATTGTTTTACAACGGTAAAAAATTAATTTAACATATCGGTGAACATTTTTTCAAAGAAATTGTACAGATTTATTGCGAGCCAAAAACTATTATGTTACATTTATTAAAATTAAATATGCCTCATGAAGCTAAAATAAATAAGTCTCTATTGAAAGGTGGAATTGATAGGAATACGTTTTATATTACGCGTTTTTATATTAAGACAATATTTTATTTATAGTGTTCTTTTATCGGTGAAATCTGTCGGTGGTAATTTAATTTCTTATGAAATATTCAATATCGATTTTCGATTTGATATGCAAAGTGATAATTTATCAAATGTTTATTCGAAAGGCGATATTGCAAACAGAATAGTACTTCGTCAGGAACAATTTTTCTAATGTATCGACATCTGTGACCTCAAATTCACGTAATAATATGAGGCATAATGTACTCTGATGCGCATGTACATATATGATAATATAAATAAATGAATATTTTATGTCGTAATCGCGAACACGTGCGTCCTTTGATCATTGGCTCGACCCGTGGGTGTAACATTGTAGCAAATCGGCTAAATGCGCTTGCTAACATATTCAGGGGAAAATTAATTAATTTTCATAATCATTAATGTAGTTCGCGGCGTAGAAACAAAATAATGTTAAATATATTTAATGCAATATAACTTAAATGTGAAATATATTTTTAAATTGATTTATTACTATAATTTAGACCTTTCTTTGTGATTAATTCGATTTAAATTTTTATTATATTAAAAATTTTCTTCTCTTAATAAAAAAAGGTATTTTCTTTCTTAAAAACGTAATTTACGACATGTGATTTGTTGCGATATCTTTACATTAATAAATTGCACTTTAATTAATATAGTTTGAATTTAGTATTCGTCAAAATGTTGTTGCCAAAATTTTGTGAATATTTATATTATTTTACTACTTATTTTTGTTTGTATGATTAATAAAATTATATACGAATAATTTAGCAATTTTTTCTTTTGGAAATTTGTGTGTATCTTTAATTAAACAAAAATTTTGTCATATTCAAACAATACAAATTTTCTAAAAACAGAATGCCGGATTTTATGTGCAATCTTTACCTTAAATTATTAAAGAAAAAAAGTGTATTACTTTATATATAAAATCTCAATAATTAATATTTATAGATTATTTAATTTACAAAGATTTATTTTTTTTTAATGCACCATAGAAGTATAGCTGTTTAGAGTAAAGATATTACGCAACTCGTCTAAACAAAAAAAGTTTTCCCCGTGTTTTGAGCGCGCAGCAAAACCACAAAGAACGAACTAGCTGATGGTAGCAAGGTTGCACCAACTATGGACGGCAACGGCAACGACAACGGCGCAAATCGATCGTGTATATGTATGGGGGGTTTTTTGTGACTCACATGGGAAGCTGACTGGAGGATGAGACTGAGCATTGTGCGCGTTATGGGGGTGCCTCGGGGTAGGAACACGCTGCTTGCAAAAGCAGAGTACCGCCGCCATTACCAGGCCGCCCATGCAGAGTATCAGAAAAACAAGGGCGACGGCGAACCAAGTAGTCTGCATGCCTAAAATCGTCGATGCCTCGGAGTCTGAAATTTTAAGAGAAAACTGTTAATCGGATTGAAAAGTTTAAGCTTGTTGAAAATGGATTTTAAAGTTAATCAAAGTATGATAAAGACAATTAACTGCAACAAGAGGAAACTGTGACAATAATTTGTTACATTTAATTAATCTAATCAATTCAGAATAAAGCTAGTATAAGCTGATTGTAAAAACTATTAGTTTGGTGCAAAAAGTTATTATTTTCCCTGAAGATCTATTTTGAATTAAGTTATCGATTATTCAAAGAGTTCAGAGTTTTTTTAAATCGAGCATGTAAAAACTTGCTTCCAGATGGAAAAAAATGTGTCGAAATCAATAGCGACTAATTTAATTTATCAAAATTAATTTGAAATCTTGCAATTTGTTTTCAATCTTGCTTGACGAATACGACAAACCTTTTGCACCAACCAAATTAATTTATTCCGCAAAATAAGATCTCTGCAATTTTAAGTTTTATTATAAAATTGGATTAATAAAATATTTAGAAATGTTTTTTAAATAAAAATAGATATGTCAACTAAGAAAATTAGTAGTGTATTCCATGCTCAAGTTAATAATGTATTAAGCTCACACCTGACTATTACGATGCGTTTCATCGAAAGCCTGACATATGCACCTGACACGCGCGTATTTTCGACGAATTAAGAAATCGATATAGCAAAACATGTACTTCATATTTTACTGTTATAGAACACGACAGGCGTAACGTGAGCAATAAAGTAATTTATGAACGATATTAACTTTTTATTAAACCGATAGTGGTGCGCGCAATGTACAAAATAACTGTATGTATATGTGTGTTATCACTAAACTAACGTTTTAAACATAAATTCCGTAAAGAAGTTGTTAGAATTTTAATTAGAGAATTGAAAATTATGAGTTAAATCTAGGTATTTTCTATCGACTATATTATGTTATTCATTATTCAGTCGCAAAGTAGCGGAAATTAACTATTTGCTAATTAAAATTGAAAATTGCAATAGGAATACAGTGAATTAATAAAACATCAGTAGAATATGTTAAATTTCTAGCAAGCATTATGCGACGAATTCATAATTTATTCCGTTACTATTGCGACCTGCCCATGGATGTGTAATGAATACGGCAATTAACCTCTTCAGATATATACGCATACTTTTGGTCATTAACATAAATGTAATATAAATTTAATTCGCGCGCGTTTCCAACTATTTCTCTGTCGCGAACAGTTTTCATGCGTGTATAAAAATCGAGAAAAACAGCACGTTTTGTCGACAAAGACGATAAATCGCTGAATTAACCAACTATAATTATTCGGTAGGTAGAAAATCATAATCTATTTATAACCAAAGGAGTTGAATCTCTCTCTGGATTTTCATCAGTTGCGTGAAAATAAATTTTTCATTTAATGGAATCACTTCACACATATTTGTCATACTTTATGAATTTCTTATATCTTAATATTTCTGTAAAATTAATAATATACAGATTGTGGAAATTTATCTGATTTTAATCGTTTGATCCCGAATTAAGATTGCTTGCGATAGTAGCTTTCGATATAGAATGTCAGTTTTTCGTATGTCAGAAATTCGCATTTCTATGTTTATTATCTGTTTGATACTTGAAACCTGCAGCATGACTAACCGCACTAAATCATGCGAGATTATATCTCTACGATCTAAATCGCTTTGCTCATTAAATATAGCGTGTCTCAAAAGACATATACATATATACACAAAATACACAATGTTCCTTGATACATAATGTGACTTCATGACGAACGTATTGATTTCATGTTAACTCATACATTATTATCATTTATGCTATTAATTACTAGTATTCGAAATAATAATGCACGAATAATACATTAATAATGAGCTATTTTAATAGAAAAGGGAGAGAGATTATAAAATCAAGCGATTGTAAAGTTATTTTAATATTATGATCTTAGCATCTCTGAGATTTAATTCCTATTATCGATTTTCATTTAAGAATTTTAATGGATAAAGAACCAAATTTCGAAAGAGTCGGCAGTAATAATGAACTCGTAGTAATTAAGACTTACTGGCACAAAGGGTGGAGGTGGCCTCGTCGGATCCGTCGCCGCAATGGTTCACGCCGTCACAAAGGAGATCCGTCTCGATGCAGAATTCATTCTGAGTGCATCGGAAATCCTTGCAAGTGTGTTCTGCAAAATGACAGAGTTTTTCTTTATATTCGAAGAATATTTTTTGTCTTGTACATTTTAATTTATGAATGATTATATTCAGTTCTTTTAAAGAATTACATCACATCCCGTTTGCGTCGCTTTTATCATATTTTTATCTAATAAGTATATGATGCACACGAAGTTTAATTACCATGGAACAGTAAAAGCCGACTGTAGTAGAAAAGTTATGGCATACTTTCTTTACCCACTGTATATCGCGCGAATGACCTCGTCGAAGGGTTGCACATCTCTCGAGTCGAGCACCCTCCGATAGGCGTTGAAGCTTCAATGATAGGTTATGTTGAGAACACAACACATGTGTGGGACCTTTTCGCGTATTCTTTCACATATTTTTTCACGAAGCAGGAATATATACGACGTTATATACATGTCGTAATTACTTTTGAAAAAGTAACAAGGTTTCTTCACGGTGAAAAGTTAAAAAAAAAATAAATAACTACTGCTACATTCACGGTACGACATAACTTTTTGCAAAAAACAAATTTCTTGTACAATATAAAAATGTCAAGAATAAAAAAGTAATTGAGAAAAATAATAATAACAAAACAAATCAATTTAGATACATATTTTAGTTGTACACGAGTTATACAACAAGTACATTGAAAACGCTTCCAGAAACTAAAAAGAAGTAACGATAATTTATTAGAGAACTTAGAGAATTTAGAGAACAATAATTTATTGGAAAATAACAATAAAAATAAAAAATTTTATGTTTTTTATTGATTTAAACACTGGAAATACTTTTATAAGATAAAAGTCTGATCAGCATTTACAATATCAGAGGTAAAAATAGATACCGATTTCAATATATTGTTGTCAAAATGCAAATTTTATTTCTATTTAATTCTGCCTTAAGTTAATTGAAAATGTTTCGTTCAAAATTTGTTACAAAAAATCTAAATTGCACTTGACGTACATTTGAATGTAGATGTAATAAATTTTATTAGATTATTTTGACTTGCAAGTGAATTATCGATGAATGAATATCGATGCACGTTCGGCAATGCGCATGAAGAACAAATTTAATGAGATGTCTGATGAGATTGCAGGGTGATACGATTAATTATCCGGTGTGCATTTGAATATCGGCCATCTGCCGGGTTCCAGTTCATCGCGCTATTTAATATGAAATTACTGCACGATCGACTAGCAGGACAAGTTCGCCCATCGTTTTGCGGGGAAATTAGCTTTGGTTAGGTGTGGGTATAAAAGCAACTGTCCGATTTAATTACAACGACGAGCACGGCAAGTAGAGACGCACTCGATATAAAGGCACTCGCGCACGTGTTTCAATTACGACGATCGCGCTCGAAACTCGAGTTTGGCATTAAGCTAATAGCTCCGATAAGTTTATCCTTTTGCTAATAAAACTTTAAACTACCCGCAAACGCTTTGTACATCGCAAGCGCGCGTACCACAAGCTGTAAATTAAACTGTTCGATATCAAAACTTAATTTGCAGAAGGGCAGTGTTTGATATTTACTTTCTTAACTCCCAGCAAATTTCTCGCAAACGAGGCTCGCGGCTGGAGATTTCTATACATAAATCTAGCCTCCCATTTTATTATTTTTTAATATAACACGACTATTAACTCATTTGCTTAATTAATTGCGGAGTAAACAAAGTTAATACATCAGATAAAAAACTACATTATATTTTGTAAATGTAATGTTTTTAATACTTGGTTTTTATGTTTCTGAACAACTTTCATTTTTATGTTCCTGAACAATTTTCAATCACTCGAAAAGCGCATGTCTGGCGCATTCTTGAGCATCGAACCGTCGTAATTCTTGGGACATCTGGTCTAATTACGGTCTAACTTGCGGAATGCGAGTAATAACGAACGATAAGTTTTATTGATCGTGAAAAAGCGTTGAGCAGCGAAGACAGCGATTTTCCGCGTTCTCTCGCTGGCAATTATAACTCTTCGAGGTCTTGTGGGGTGGCACAGAAAGGGTAATAAAAGGATCCGACTCGACGACTCGAAAGGATAGAGCGGTGAAAAAGCTCACAGATAGCCGTACGTAATTTTATGTAATTTAATAGTTGAAATTCTTTCTTTTCTACCCGAACTTTTACGATTTACCGTCATTACCAGGGTTTTTGTAGAAGATCTTTGCAAAAAAGATCCGGCAATAACGATTAGCGGTGATTAGGGACAGTACAAAACGAAGTGGTAAGATATGGCACTCGCAAAATTTCCTGCAACGCCCGAGAAGTTGGATAATTCTGACTTTCACAAAAGTATCGAAACAATTGCCTGTTATAATAATGGCTGTAAATTGCCCTTGCAACGATTTTCTTTGTACATAACGCCAACGAGAGAGAGAGAGAGAGAGAGAGAGAGAGAGAGAGAGAGAGAGAGAGAGAGAGAGAGAGAGAGAGAGAGAGAGAGAGAGAGAGAGAGAGAGAGAGAGAGAGAG